AAGCGGCGTTTGCTCAGGACAGAAGTTACTTACCTGAAAACTAAAAAGTAAAAGAACCGGACACGGCAAGCTCTGAAGAGCAAAGAGAACAGGGAGGCTACCGCGCGGGAAGACGCTTGATAAAGCGTACGTAGCCGATGCGTCAGGGCACATCCCCCTGTGCGCGCCGGCGTGTGTGCTCATTGGCTCAGGCCCACGGAGGGGGGAGGAAAGGACGGCAACGCGAAGGGAACAAAGTGCCCTGAGCGCTTCCGGAAATGGAGGCGATCTTTGTGCTAGTGGTGCACGCTATAGCCACAGCATCCGTCTTCATCTCTTCTGCGTATGAAACTTTTCACTCTCCTACGTTCTTTTCGTCCCTGACAGCACTCTCACCGTGTTTGGCTTCATTTCTCCCATCAGATCTGACGTCTTCTTCACCATCGCCTTCATGACGTAATTCCCGTCCTCTGATGTCAATCTCCTTCACCTAGTCCTCAAAGGCCTGACATTTTATTCCCTTCTGTCCCTGACGTCATCACCCTTCACAGTCCTTGACGTCATGCCCTGCGTTTTCTCCCCTGCGCTCAACGTCTAGCTATCCATCATGGGACCTTTTCCCCTGTTGTCATTACTTCTTAGCTCTGACTTCAGCCCTCATCCTTATCTGACTGCGCCCCCCTCCTGCCGCCCCACACACCGCCCCTAAACCACCCTTGACTTTCCTGCCAGTAGCCTGCTTGTGATGCCATCTGCAATACAGGATGCTCCAGTCCTTAGAGGGTGTAAATCCCAGCCCACAGAAGGATTTTTGCTGTTACTTAGGGTAGCTGAGCCTTTGATCCACAAAAAGGACTTTCACAGTATGCAGTGGACTTTATCCAAAGTAAATTGTGTCTGAGCCCATTGCTGACAATTTGGTCTTGACCCGGCTTTGGTGTCTGAGTTACCTTTCTCTTCCTTCCTTCCTTCCTTCCTTTCTTTCTTTTTTCTTCTTTTTTTATTTTGGTAGAGATTTTTCACCATAGGGCTCTTGTGTGCTCACTGGAGAGACAGCATCAGAAAGACAGTAAGCAAGAAATCATCCCTGGGGGTATAGGCACACCGCAGTCGCTTCTCCTCTATTCTCTGAGATTTGTAGCATGTATACTCACCAGCATGAGTTTCAAGCCACCAGGCCCAGAATTCAAAGCACAGATGATCACAAATGAGTCCAGCACCTTAACCACTATGGCACCTGCTGCCTCCTCCAACCCTGTGTCTGAGTTACCTTTGCAGTGAATGGATTTGACAGATTTTTTTTTTCTCATTTCTGAGCTCCCCATCTATGAAGAATGGGTTAACTTTGGGACCAGCAGTTAGCATAATGGCTATGTCGCTGGATTCTCACGTAGTTGACTGCAGTTCGAGTCCTGGACCTGGTAGCTTAAATTCACGCCAGGTGCATGTGCATGCGTGCCCAAGATCCTGAGAGGAGAATGGAGAAGGGATTGTGGCGTGGCCATCCCCCCTGGGGGGTGATTTCTCGCTTTCTATCTCTCTGTCTCTCTCTGTCTGTCTGGCGAGCGCATGCGCCCTATAGCAAATAAATAAATAACAGAATGCGTTAGTTTGCCCTCAGAGTCTAAATTTCTTATCTATAGAATGGATCCATCTAGCCTTCTAAGGGTCTGCCTTCCCCATAAACAGACTAGATGTGTTCATTTTCAGAGCATAGAATGCTATTTATCCATACTCCTATTGGATCAATCCCCATATTTCTCTTGTTAATTTTCTGAAGCTCCTCACATAGTCAAATTATTAATCCTTTAGGTGTTTGGAATTGCAAATAGCCTTTCCTGCTCCTGCATTTGTGTAATTAACATTGTAAGTAGTATACTTAGATAAAGACCTTTAATTTTGATGCAATTCATTTTTTTCCCTTATGGTCTATGCTTTAAAGAAATCCTTCCCCCGCCCGCCCCCCGGCACGTTCCAGACAACTCTTTTACAGTTTTTTTTCTATTAACTTTATAGTTTTGGGGGCCAGCAGATGGCATAATGGTTACATTGCTGGACTCCCACATGGTCGACCTTGGTTTGAGTCCCAGACCTGGTGGCTTAAAACTCACACCAGGCATGTGTGCGTGCATGCCCAAAATCCTGAGAGGAGAAGGAAGGAGAAGGGATTGTGACATATCCATCACACCTGGGGAGTGATTTCTCTCTTTCTATCTCTCTGTCTCTGTCTCTCCAGCAAGCGCATGTACCCTATAGCAAAATCTCTCTTAAAAAATTCAGTTTTTGGGAACCAGCAGTTAGCGTAATGGCTATGTCACTGGACTCCCACGTAGTCGACCGTGGTTCGTGTCCCGGACCCGGTGGCTTAAAACTCACGCCAGGCAGGCATGTGTGTGTGTGTACCCAAGATCCCTAGAGGAGAACGGAGGAGAAGGGATTGCAGCGTGACCATCTCCCCCCTGGGATTTCTCGCTTTCTGTCTCTATGTCTCTCTCTGTCTGTCTGGCGAGCGCACGCGCCCTACAGTGAAAATCTCTCAAAAAAAAAATTCAGTTTTGCTCTTCTATTAAATTTATAGTTTTTAGGTCTTTAATCCACGTATAAGCTACATGGAAAGTTTTGTGGTGTGAAATAAAGATCTGGTTTTATTTTTTTTTCCATGTCATGAGCCAAATGTCCCATTACCAACTACTAAGGAATCTGTCCAGTCTTTTGTGTGTGTGTGGATGTGTGTATGTGTTACCGCCTCCATCATATATTAAGCATTGTAGATTGATGGATCTATTTTTTTTTGAGAGATTTTTACCATAGGGCACGTGCGCTCGCCAGACAGACAGAGAGAGACATTAGAGACA